TTTGTTTGTTTTAGTTTCAACCACGTCGGCATATATGTCGTCATGTTTCTTCATGTGTTCGCAACCGTGGGGAAGTGCTTGGTAGTTTTCTCTGTAGTCTTCGTCGCTTTTGCGCTCTCGTTCCACGTACTTTTTCGTGTCCCGCAGTACAAAGTAAGCCGCCTGTGATACTGTGCGTGTACATTGTTCAAATCATGGAATTTCACTAAGAAACGAAGTACAGCCAACCAATGAGCATGCGTATTGTCATTTATAAAAATACCACCCACGCACAACCTATGATCCAAGAATCCAAGACCACTAAGACACCTCATTGGCTAGATTTGCATCAACAACTACAGCCGAGCTAAAATAACTTAAACAAAAAGCACCAAAAGGAACAGCGAACCTCAAGATTGGCAACCTTATGAAAAGACAACAGCCTATGTGGTTATGGATGTGCTCAAGATCTTCGGTCATGAGAGGAGCCGGATTAGTCAGCCAAACCAAAAACGCTCCTTTATCAGGAGTACCTCGACTAATGTATCTAATAAATCAGACACAACAACTCTCACTTTTGGTTCCAATTCCAATTATTTGGTCCGAAGGTACTAGAGAGACTGTTACTGCAAGTTTCAGGGAGAAAATTCTTCTATACACATCACTGGCCTGTACATTGGAAAAATGATTTCTGTGTAGCAAGATCTAGGTTCTAGACTGGGCTGTCTGCGGTCCATTAACGGTATACTGAACCCGGAAGGACGTTGCAAACAACTAAATATGCGGTGGACTACAGTCAGTCTATACATCAGTTAATCAAATTCGGAGAAGAAATTATACTGAGAATAACTGAACTTTCACTTGATTCACAAAGTTCTGAGTGGCCTTTTAACCCTTTATAGTTGGATGGACTTGGAAAGGCAACATGACCTGAGTAAATAGCCATTTCTCACTTTGTCACATAGCAGTCCCATCGTCTTACATAATATATAATATAGTTACTTCAATTCAAACGATTGATGCGGCATATAAAACCATCTAACTTCAGTTACAGAGGGCGTTTACTTTCAAAGCTCATAGAAATGAACCTACGGAGCTTCTCCGCGTCCAAGAAACTGAAGCAAGCTTCCAGATCTAATGCTATACCAACATTCTCAGTTGCAGTCAGTTTTCTTCCAAAATAGACGGCGGCCTGATAATCAGAGTGAACTGTATGGTATTATGCATTTGCGGCATCCATGCAGGAACAAGTTAGTCTTTGAACGTTACCTGGGATAAAATGAAAATAATTGGATGTGAAATAGACTATGTAGACTATAGACTATAGACTGTAGACTATGTATGGAAGCCTCAAGCTTTTAGGGTCGGTGTGTTGACGGAAAACCCGGTCCTCAGAACTGAAAGCAATTTCTATCGACCATATTCAGAACGTCCTAATTAACCACGAATGGTCCCTTTATAGAGGTAACTTATAAACCAACATTACACTTCACCATCAACGGAGGAATAACACTGATTCAACCAGGTCATTCCAGTAAGGTCGAATTACCTTATTACCATCCTGAAAATTGTGTCGTTCACTAGCCCCCTTAATTTTCCCCAGCATTTGCCACCTTCTTCACAAATCTCCTTCCGCTCCGTACGCGCATCCGTCTGTAGGTGCACATTTGAAGCGACCGGTACACTGGCTTATATTTTAGACATGACAGAATCATCCAGCATCGCTTTGCACACACGAAGCCCGGTGTCCTTTCGTGGACCCTATCCACTGTCACTAAATTTGCACACTAATGTAAAAACTGAGCGAGAGAAGACCATTTTCATATTTTAGGAATTTCTAACGTTGACACACAAAGAACTTGCATCCGTAGAGAACTGTTTTGGCCCTCGAGGACAATTCGAAGCGTTGGGGAATGGTAACAGCACACAAACATCCGTGACCGTGGAGCTCCAATCGTTTCAATACGTCGGACTCTCTTTGTTCAAAACACTGTTCATGATGCTTGGTGAATATGAACACACGGCAACAATTGTTGAACCGCTGACCGGTCACAGTCCGCTGTCAATACACTATCCAGTCATAACATTATTTTTCTACGTGGGGTTTATTTTCCTCGTGCCCATCATACTAATGAACCTGCTGGTAAGTTTGTTTGACTTTTCACGATGATGAAGAAATTGCCCATCTTTCATTTATCACATGGATTCTGTTTGGAATTTGGAGAATGCTTTGGACAATTTTTATATATTTTGATGACAATTTTCAGTCAAAATGGTCATTTTCATTACTCCATCGTATAAAGCATGGCTCTTGACTTGTTCAAGTAGAAGGTCAACGTTATTGGGTCAAGCGGCTTTCGATAAACTCGCACCTTGGAAAATTGAGTTGTAAATTAGACTAAGTAACACGGCTAACGGACTGAGTGGACTGCCTAAAGACCATTCTTTATTCAGCTGATTGGAGGGTGAACAAAATGATGCTGGCCTGGGTATGGTCTACTCTTGGGGCTGAAGTAAAGCTATCTGTCCGGAACGGTGATTTATCCATTTTCCGCCGCATAATTTGCCACAGCTTAAACAGAGCAAACACAGATCTTGCGTTCACTGGTAAATGTAAGTTGATCATTACGTGACTGTTTAAACATCAGCTAGCTGTACTGGCTTTACTTATTACGAACTGACCACGGTTATTCACCCGCGTTCTAGCTACTTAGCCAAAATTTGGTATCGAGTTATCCATGAGCTGGCTGTTGATTTATTGCCATTTAACGCCTTTTTACCGACAATTCATTTTGAACTACCCCAAACGGTTCTCGTATGAGTATTTCACTGATGTTTACCCGAAGATTTCGCGGCCGTTTCACCACAAAACATCCATTGTGTAACCTCCACTGAGCAGCTGTCTTACAGTTACCTAACCACAGTCTACTCAGGTGGCGCGGTCGAATAACAGAGAAGCCTTGTCTTGTAGTCGGTTTTGATTGACTGTTTCCCGAGTAGGAATACCGCACTTTGACCAGATAGAAAATAACCCCTAACTAGACATTTTCATCTATAATATAACTGCCATTTAAACATCCTTTGCTACCACGGTATGTGCGGGTTTTTAAGTGTGGGTTGATCCAGGACAAGAGCTGGCGGACAATCGTTTTTGTAGTAAGCTCTTGAATACTTGGACGAAAGGGCTCTGTGGTTAAAGCGCAAATTTCCTGACTGGAGGGTCTGTAGTTCGAACCCGACCTCTGCTTCTCGACTTCTCGTGTCTAGGCGTGGGCAACCTAGCAGTATCCCAGCCCTCACCTATTCTTCAGATGGCATGGCAGCCGGGTATCGAAGGGGTTTTACAGCTGAAATCCGGATTTTATATATACAGTGGTGTGGTACAGGGACTTCTTTTGACATATGGTAAACTATCGACTTAAAAAACATAAGAATGATTTTAACGAGAAAGAAACAGGATATTTTAGAGCGCTTCACCCAATATTCGTTCCACTACCTCAGACAATAAATGAGTTTACGACGATAACAGTTTTCGTTTAGTGAACCGCCCTTTTGTCTTTAAGTGACCGCACATGCGTCATACGGCAGAGGGAAATTAAGTATAGAACTATATCTAACGAAAGTGAATGATCACTTATTTTGAATAGTGTCAGATATTATTACTGTATATTGAACCCTATCGGGTGATAAAACCTTTGCCCCTAGATTGAACGAAGGCAACACGGAATCGACAAGGAAACCTACTTCATAAACAGCAACATCGAGAATAAGCAGAGCGAAGCTGCGTATACGATGACAGTTGTTATTGGAAGCCTCATTGTTCTGAACTTTATTCAGTGGCACAATTAGAGGTCCCATGAATTCTGCTAGATTATGTGAAAGCACAACACGTTTGTTGTTCTGAGTAATCTTGCCCAGATCGTGGAATTTAGCAAAGCATCCAGAGGACCAATACGTTTCTCTGCAGGAGTGTAATGCGAGTGTCATCAGTGTTGGTTATCTACTTGAAGTCGGAAACAGAAACATTCTCCAAGCGTTCCTTTACGAATTACGTTCGCTGCTCCTCTGTCTTGATGCATACGTTGCTGTCTCGCACCGCACCTCAGCTCACCCGGCGTTTGTCAGTGTTAGAGGTTGGAACCCACGGTTTTCGAGTGTCCTGTAATTCATGGGCACGTAAATCACGCGTGGTGAATGAACTTTCAGCTCTCCCACCCAGCATCAGAAGTGGCTGTTAGTAGTTTGAGGAAATTCGGAAATTTTCGACTGAGTCTTCGTTTCGTTGATGAAGTTTGTCTGTATCGAAAAGCCAAGAAGCACTGCACAGTTGTTTCACCCCTGTTAAGGATCACCGGGAGTGCGTATCTCACAAATCCCAAGATATACTCGAACTGACAACATTCCCGCTAGTAATGACGATATTCTTGATGATATCCTTCGACTGTCGAGGAGTCTTCGACAAACTTGTGAGTAGTTTTCCTTATGGAAATATACTGCGAAATCTGGAATATTGTACCAAATGAAACATGAGGTGGCTTTTGTGCCGCACATTGAGTTGAAGAATATCATAGACGAGAGATTCAGTCGAGTCTCCCGTGAGAACCCAGTTGATACGCAAGTGTTGTCATTCAGTGGATGCTCCCTCAGCTATGCTCAGTTCAAACATACCCATCCCAAGACCTGTTCTGCTAACCTGCATACCCAGTGAAACCAATAATTCTTATTCTTCGCTTTTAAAGATCGGATTAGCAGTCGGTGATATTGAACATGTTCGCCAAAGTTCAGTCCTACGTCTGATCTCTCAACAAGTCTATTGGTTAGCTGATTGGGAGCCCAAGCTCATGTCTATTTTCCGATCGAAAATCTACTCCCCGCACTGGAAACGCAAGTGCAAAAGAGATGCAAATGTCACCGTAAGTCAAATGCTTTTTTCAGTCTTATTGGAAGGATTTTCATTCTGGAATGTGTAAGTGGAATAGTTTTATGACGGAATACAAATTCGTATAAACAGTGAAAGATTACTTGCAGGATAGTTTGCAGCGGAAGCCGTGGAAGCAAAATTTCTTTTCCACCAGAAAGGCCGGTAAAACTTTGTGATTCATCACCTGGTGAAGAAGTGTTTAATAAAAATAACTGTTCATCTGCAATGCAATTCCGGTGCCTAGATGCCAAACCGCTCGAAAAGAGCACAGGAGTTGACATGCTACCGGGTTACCCATCATCATCAACATCATCATCAGCATCATCATCATCATCATCATCATCATCATCATCATCATCATC